ATGTTATTTAATTGGAGCTTGTTTCTGCAATGTAAGCACCAGCCGGAATTCGATCCATCGAGCCATCATTTCACACTCAAAACATACGAATATTTCACTTTATAAAGCATATAATATGTGAGCAGAAACGCGGGTTCTATGCCGACTAGAAGTCACTTCAAACTCTCTTGTTATGCCCTTAGCTCTTTCATAATGTCAGTGTCCTATATCTTTCAACTTGTTTCTAACTCGGTGCCTTTCAACCAGATCATATTTAGCAAGCTTCTTTATGAATTTCGGCGCGCTTTGGCAAAAATTATTAATATTATACCACGTAATAACCAAGACAAGAATAATTTTAATGTATTCTCATTACATTAAACTTTATATAAAAGTTGAAGTTGGAGTACAACTTGAAGTTTTTTATTATCTTGTTCATAAAAAAATCAAAAGAAACAAAACACAAACCTTAAACATTTGTTTTTGTAGTACTTAATTATTGCTTTTTGAAACCAAAGAACCAAAACAATTGTTTATGTTTAGCATACTTACATTAAAATATTCTACACATTTGTTGTTCCTAAATGCCAATGAATTTATAAAATGCTCTTATTTTAACTTATTGCATTACTTTTTCAGCAAAAGAAACCTTTTGCTCTTTACTCATTTATTACTTTATTTATATTTCCTTTTGTAAAGCATCTGAGTGAAACATTTATATTCAATTCTTCAAAAGCTTTGCAAAATAAATGCTTAACGTTTGATTTTTGTGCGCTTTGAAGGTGCACTTTATTTTGAATATGGACTATTTGTGACAATAATTTTATCCAGTGTAGTAATAATTCAAGCTTTCTATAAATAGTTAACACAAAATTTCAAAGAGTTTAGTTTTATTATGATGACAAAAATGTAATGAGTGTGAATAAGATATTTTAGCTCATTTCCATTTCTACTCTATACAAAGTTAAATGCGTTTACAATTAGTAGATGTTTTATTTTAATTCTTTGTTAACTTTGCATTATATTTCTAAGAAAGTTAAACCTGCTTATGATTTTTTAATATACGGGAAATAAAATATCAAAATGCTGAACTCAGATTGAACTTCCTACTTTTCATAAATATGAATCCGTTTCTTTGAATTTCATCCTTTTTTATTTAAAATATCATCACTAATACTTCTTAATGCAAAGCCGTTTAAAATGAAAGTAATTTTAAACTTGTCATATTTCGCCAATTTCACCAAAATTAAATTTACGACACAAAAGAAATTTTAAATTAGAAAAAAACAAATTAAAATTTATTCTTCAAAAATATTTCCTGTATATCATAAAAAAAGTGTGGTACCTGAGCCTTAAAACAAATGGAGAACTATAACGCAACAGAAACACACAATATTAGCCCTATTTCAAGATTATTTGAAGCTAGCGAGTAGATTAAAATCGTGTGGATTTCTCTCGGGAGCTTTTGTTTCACAATTATTAATAAAGTAAATTTTAGTTTAAATAGCTAAAATCTGTATTATTAGGGTGTAAAATAATATATATTCACTGAGAGATTTTGCGATTTTGCTTACTATGCGTTTGCAAATGTATTAAGAAACTAGGATGGCATCATAAAACTCTGAGTGATTTATTTATAAGCGCATCGTTTTTTTACATAAACAAAAAGTCTGAGTGTATTTAATTTATGACTTTTTGAGGATGTGATGTATAATAACACTAAAGATTTCTTTGTATTGTTAGCTTTTGACAAAATGTCCAGAACGGTAATGATTGCTAAGTAAAAAAGAGATGTGTAAGTGTTTGCGATAAGTTTCCAATTTTATTATTGCGGCATTGAAATTTTGCATGCCTCACTCCAAGTCTCCGAACGATCCCTAGTGGCGTCGAACAAGTCCGGCGTTCAATAGAAACGCGACAAATCAATTCAAAATCATTAAGTCGAAGAGCTGTGCTTTTAATAATTGTTTCTAACAGTCTGTGAATAGTAAATTGAAATTTTTCATTAAAGTCATATCAGTGATTCGCTAGGGAGCAGAAAATTTTGTATGCATGATACGTGGAGTTTGGAACGCCAACAATGGACAAAGTGATTTCGTTAACAAAATTTTCAATTGGAGACAATGTTAGAGAGATTGCGTTGCGTGGTTAGCAATAAGAAAGTGTGTACATTCCGGGCTTTAGTAGAGAAGGTATTCTATTAATGATGGCCGCGGGCGATATCCGGCCGACCGGAGACCGACAAACTCGAAATACTGGCTTGCCGGCATTAACGAAGGGCTAGTTGCGTAGTTTGGGGCACGCCAACCATTCATTTCCGCGCTATTGGGGTTCCCATTTTAGGCGGCAGCTCGTCTGTCGCTCCGTTCATCCCTCGTTGGCCGGTAATCGAACACACAATTGGCCCCGTATGTCACTTCATCGCACAGAATACAAAGCAGGCATCGACCGAGCAAATCTCTGATGTTCTTTGTTTCAAAGTGTTTTTGTTAGAAGTATTTATCCCTTGTTTATTTTCCGCGTTTGTTGCTTCTCTATCCCAGGACCAGGTTCAGGAACATCGCCAAAAAATCAGCCTCTGTTTATCTCGACATTTACCTATTTAATTCATAAAGTAATCTCTAAATTTCCGCTGTTCCTTTGTGATTGAGAATTTAATCATGCATTTAATGACAATACCACGGTTACTAAATATCGAGGACAACTTCCGCCATCGGTTTATACCGTTTCACATTTCCCGTGTGTTTTAAATATGTACAATTCAAACGAGCCGAACACATTTACATTTTCGAGTTCAAACATTTCCCATAACCGCAAAATTTCTCCCAGCCGAGTTCATTATTGTTCACCAACACTCCACACTCGATTCGACCACTCCATTTCTCTAAAAACTTACGCTACACAATATTTACCAAAACGGTACATAAAGACTAACCACAACTATCCTTTAAACTCAAAATTACACACAATACTGCTCTTTGCACAATTTCTGTTATTGCATAACTTAATAACTATTGAGTTAACTTCCTCTTTTAATAAAGGATGTTTCAATATTCAATGTATGAAAAGCTAATTTTTATAACAATAATATAAAACAGTAATTTTTGCATTTCTCCTTCCTTCATTTTTACAAGTCGTTCAATATACAGGCTGCGCCAAAATGCGCGCCCCAGAGAAAACTGCCATGTAAGGTAAAATACCAGGAACATGGAAAAAATTTTAAAAAAATTCTATCTATCAAAATTTCAAAGTTATGAAAGTTTAAATTTTGCACTTTGACTCTATTTATTTCTGTTTGAAAAATAATTTTTCACGTTTTTTTACTACAGACTATTAGAAGAGGAAACAAGGAAGCTGTATCCTAAATTGTAACTCTGTTTTATGTTATTTGTGGCTTTTATTAGCAAAATTTTTGTACCTTTACTAAATAGTTATAAAAAAAACATACAAGCTAATCAGTATCATTAAGTAGACATAAAAAAATGACAAATGTCAAAAAAACATTCAAAATTTTTTTCCATGTTTTCGGTATCCTATGTTATTTAAAATTTTTAATTTTTCTCTAGGGCGCGAGTTCTGAAACACCTTGTATAAGGTGCCAGAAAAAATATCAAAGAAAACGATTTGTATTGGATGTTAAATATAAAATTTTTAGATAGAAAAAAAAATCAAATGTTTACACAATCTCAAACACACTTTCCACTATAAGAGCTGACCGATCGTGTAATGCAAGCGACCACATCAATTTGCAATAACGCGAGGGTGTGTGTGAACTCAATAAGCCTAGCACGAAGGGTTCCAGCGAAGGAAAACATTTTGTAACTAACACTAACACTGATACTGGCCTACCTCAACGTAGCGATCAATCAGTTTTTGTCTTGACACTGTTTATTTTTGATTAAAATTGCGAAAACCAAAATGTAGCTACTTTGACAAGTTGTATTTTTGGTTAACGAGAATACATTGAATTTATAATACAGCTTGTATAATACAGGTTGCATCTTCGATTTTAAATTTAATTTTACTATCATATAGAGCTTTTTCTTTTTTTTTAATAATTAACATTGTAACTTGACAATCTAAAAATTTATAAACTTTTTGTAATCTTTTTTTTTGTTGGCTTTTGCTTATTATGTCTTATTTTGTCAACTGAAGCTTTGATAAAAACATTTAAATCAAAGGATTAAATAAAACAAAATGAGTAATTGTTTTCACATAAACTACTCTGAACGTATATCTGAATTAAGTATCAATATAGAAATGTTTAGGTAGATGTGTGAAGAAGATCGTAAAATAACATTTACTGCTGCGTAAATTTCACCAGAACGTATTTTTACAACAGGATGGGTAACAGCATTTTTCATAAACACATTTATTATTTATAATTTGTGTGACATTAAAGGTGATACCGTATGTCATAAAAAAATATAGTAGTCGTCGGTCGTTGACGTCCTACTTAAATGGAATTTCTTAAACCCCATTAACCTACAAGACAAATTGTTGTATTATTTTTTAAACAACGCAAAATGTTTGCTTATTGAGAGAAATACATTTAGAAATTGGTCTTTGTTTATGACTTATTGAACCGGTTCCTAGAACCGGTTTTAATACTGATTTATTTTATAATAGTCGTAGCTCACAATGCAGTATTGAGACATGGTTTATAGTCGTCGCAAGGTCAGTATTGCGGCATTTGTAGTGTTACATTCCCAATGAATTTATAGCCTACGCATGCATGTTCCTGCAATAAGCGCATGTTTCAGTAGGACGTTTTCGGTAATATAAGAAGATAATAGCAATAAAGTAGACATATCAAATTTGAAGAAGGTAGACGTAACTTTCTATTATCAAGCTTTTAAATTAGATGAGTTAGTCAAATGGTCCAAAAACATTTCTAATATTAATACCAGTTGAGGAGCGCGTTTTTATCTGCGAGGGCGTAACGCAATCAAGCATTTTCCGGAGGATGCCGTCTGATATCCTCTGGTGTAGCGTTTTGATGCGGTTTTTATTTTACTTACTAGAAGTGTCCTGCTTAGGCTGCGTCGTTGCGGTAGTGGTCGAAGGTTGCACGGTTTGTACCGGCGTGCTGGGCTGCGTCAGCAAGGGTTGAAGCGCGAGCAGGGTTGGAGGATTCACAGGCGCGGTGCTCCCCGGCGAGGCTGCCCACCCACCTTTCATGTCCTGTAAACAACCACCGCACATTAATCAAGTGCACTTTACAGCCAGCTTACCGCAAAAGCGTGCCCTGGTGGTGTGGCAGCAATGCTGGAGGTGGCGCACCGGTGTGGTGTTAACCGGACGACCACTTCCTCATGTACTTTGAGATCCAATGTACATCCACTCAAATTTTGACTGTTTGACTGTTTTTATTCGGCATGTCAAAATTGCAAGAACAAGATTTACGAAACGCAAGGGTGGTTTATTCAATATTTCAAGTATTATACAGTGCTTGGACATTGCGATAATTGGGGTAATTAAGATATCTAAGTAGGCAACAAGTATATAACTAACTCCGCAACAGGTTATAAAGTAAATGTAAAGCAATCAACGCAATCTTATTTGATGTAATGAATTTATTTAACACATATTGTATACTACTAAATTAAATACTTTGCAGTAGAATTTACACAAACTTGATTGCGAATGTAAACTGTTTTAGTTTAATATTAAAAATGGTGGAGGCGTCGGGAGAGAAATAAAATTGTTATTTGTTCTTCTGAAATTTGCAACTTTGTGGAGACAAAGTTATCATACACAACCTTTGACGTCCGCAAAGTAGGTAATCTTTTGAAAGAATTTACTCAACCTAAGCTTTATTATGAGCTATATTTTTCACGAAAGTCGACCTCACACTTTAAATTTTCTCTCAGTAAGTAAAGCTTTAGTGCTTCTTGCTTTATAGTTTTTTTTATTTTAAAGGTTTTTAAAAATTATCTTTAAAATTAAATTTTTATTCGTGAAGTATAAAGTATTTTTTGTTTAAAGTATTAGTAGATTAAAATTTTATATAAGTTTGTCGAATAAATAAAAATGCAAGTTGTAGCCACCTTTCAATTTAATTCGAGGTTAATGACAGTCTAACAATTAATTGAATTCTATTTGTTGATTGGTAATGTAGCAGACATTGATAGCAAAACTATGCGCAATATACCAATTAATTTCTACTGAATCTGCCTGGAGCATAAAATTTTTAATGAAAACAATTTAAATCTAAATTAAATTTAAACAAGACACGTCGCAGTGCTGTTTTATAAATAAATATTCCGCAACAGTAACAACGTTCACGTGGAAAAACAGAGAAATTGTTCCACAAGATATAATTCTACTTGAGTTCAAGTTAATATATTTGTTAAAGAAGCCTTTTAAATTAACGTGAATATTATGCAAATTGGTAGAGCAAACCGGGTTCTAGATGCGCATTGCTATGTCAAAATAATGAATCCAAAAACGAGTAAAAGTATTCGAAGTGTTTATATTTTGTCGCGATGTAACGTATCGCTATGCATATCAAAATTGTCCCGCCAAAATTCATTATGCATGTATGCATATACATATTTCATTTGTTTAATTAATGGAAGCGAAAAAATGGTAAAGAAATACACCAGAAAAGAATAAAGGGTATATGACTGTATTTTATATTGTCATGGTGTGTCACGCGACGTTGCCTGACGAACGCTTTATTACGCCAAGATACGATCTGCAACCGGTCAAACTCGATAGGATGCCGGTTGAAATCGTAACTCGACTATTACAGCAAACTTGCACCCAATTTAAGCCATTTAAATCCAGAATTCGGCTCCCGCCAAAACGCACAATGCACTAAATCCATGTCCTGCAGAAACCAACGTAACCAACACGGACCTGAGCTTCGATTTTAACCGGCCACGTGGGAATCAACTTAGCACACAGCTTACCCTTATCGATATGTATCTGCGTATATTATCGTTTTGTAATGGACAGCGCCAAAAAGCCCCTGCTAAACAAATAATTAATGGTCATCGAAAATGTACAAGTCAATTAACATGTGAAATATTCTCGCGGGATACAAGCCCGACCGTGTACAAAAGGAGTTTTCTAACGCGACCAAATTATCGATTTCACAAAACAATGGCTTTGTTTTATAATGAGATTATGTCAACATACTCCACCTCCGCTACCCATTTTTGGTGCCGTGGTGTCAAACGCTAGCACTAGCACCAATCAATCTATTCTGCCTACGACCTACGATTCCATAAAACACAAACAAGAAAAAAATACTTATTTGATCCTACATTCTCTGCTGTTATTTACATTTTAGTGCTTAGTTGGTGTTTGAGCTAAACATTTCTATTAATATTAAAGCACTTATGAAATAGACTAAATTAAATTATCAAATAATTTAATGAGATTATGTCAATCGAGTTTATGTTGTTAATAGCAATAATAATTACGACAAATTAATTAACTAGTTTCACAGGTTTAACGTGATGCTTGTGAATAAAGTCATTGCATTCAATTTTAGCGGCTTGCTTTTAATTGCATGTACTATTTTTCAGATTGTGGTATACTTGTAAACCCATTTTTATGTAACGCACCTTTTTTTATTTGACAACAGCGGTAAAGCAATACACACCTAACACGCCACAGAACGTGTTTGTAGACACTTTTCATGACAGTTATTGTTGATACTAAATTAAGTATGGATTTTTAAAAGCCGATAATTTTGTCACAGTTGAGTAACAAAATTAATAAAAAAACAAATAATTTGAAGTAATTTATAAAATTATAAAACATAATACACTTTGGCAGTGCGTGTAAAAACTCATTATTATAATAAACTGAAAGATGTGAAGCTCACGGCAGTGCCTTTTGGGGCGCATAATTAAAATTAGCAAAAAAACGTAAAATGTAAAGTTAATTAGATACCAGTATTTTTGTATTTTTTGAAACAAAATTATTTCATATAATTATAATAAAATAAAAACCGTAAAAGAAAAATGACAAAATGAGGGGTACTTAGAGACGACATTATTAAAAATAAATGAAAAGTTTTATTGCCAAAAGTTAAAATAAATAAAAGTGAATTAGTTGGCTGAAAAATACGTTGCAAAGAGAAATTCTACTTACTGCATAAATTGTGTGACGGAAATTGAGGTTTAAATTTTACGGCCGGTAAAGTTGATAAAATCTTGAAGCAACTTAAAATTGAAAATAAACTTGTATTTTTATTTTCAAAGTAATTATTGCACAATATGCTTATTATAACGTAAAATATTCAAGTTGTTTTTTTAATTCGTGTTGCAGTATCTTGAGACATTAAAAACGTTGTACTGATAAAAGGAAAAGTTGGAATAATTTCATTAAGAAGTTGATGGTTTTTGGCAAAAGCTATAAAGTGTTGATTAAGACTGCATTGCAGCGTAACTAGTGAAGGAAAGCAGACGATGATTATTTGTTGTGCTGATGATGGTACGTGAAACAGTTAAATATTCATAGAGGCTCTGGGAACAATCGTCGAAAAGTCACAACTTAATTATTTTAGTTTCAGCTATTATATTTAGCTCGATGAAATTAGTTTTGGAAATTGTTTGTCATAAGCGAAGAAATTAATCGAGGTCTCTAAGCTTGGACGTTATTATTTAAATCACGGATTTTAAGCATATTACACGATTTTTACGGTTTTGAATAAATAATGTAAAAAGTGTGTGATGCGACTAGTAAATATTGCATAAACTTATTGAGATGTTATAAGAATATTTTCCACATATGTGCCCGCACCAGGTTGGAATAATAATAAGTGAAAGCATTTTATTTATATTGTGCAAATGATAACGCGTATGCTCCCCATGATAATTGGCTTCACATGCTTTACAAAAGTAACAAATTTTAGGGGAGAGAACCAAAGTGCGTTGTCGTAAAAAAGTTAATTGAACTAGGGTTGTGCACGAGGGCGTTTTATTTCGGGCGATAGGGTTTAAGGATTAAAATATAATTCTCAAATGTCATTATAAAGGTGTGAAAATGTAATACATATAAATTGTCTTTTCAGTAGGTGGAACGACACTAGAAGAATGAAATTCAAATTTGCAAGTGTAGTTGGTTTACAGCCACTCACACGCTGCAATTTTAATTCGAGCCATAAAAGACAAAGCTTGCGTGGAAGCTGTGGAACTTCAGCGATTTAAAATAGAAATTAATTCGGATAAAATATTCATAGTTTCAGGTCGAAGCACTGCTAGCGAGGCTCACCTGCCGCCCGTCCTTAAATTAGTTCCGAACTATAATAGTGAAACTGGCCGCGCATACGTAACATAACGCAGCGCGACGTAACGGCCAAAACTGGGTTGACGCGAGTTTGAGGCATCAGTTAATGAATGACTCCCTAATGCTGCTGTTATCGCATTGCCAAGGGAGCCGTTTCGAGAATTCGCTCACTTCTGCTAATGAATTGAATAATATTTACATTAAGAATTCAAAAATAATACAACGCTCTACATTGCCAAATTTTCAGACTGCGGAGGTATAAATTTTAATTGGATTGCCCTTCGCCGAGCACCGGAAAACTAAAGACATTCTCGCGCGGTGTTCCCCAATTAGTCCAACACTCTCGCAAATTCACCGCGCCATCGATCAACCATCAAACAATTTCCTACCGACACAATTTGCCCCGAAGTCACCCTACTTAGCAACTAAATCAATTACATCGACAAAAACCTAAGCTCTTACTTGTTATCTGCAGCAAAATTCATCACAATATTCGATATTGTTTAACCTTGAAAATTATGCTCGGTTTAAACTCTTTTCAGTGAGGCTTCTTTTTCTCTTCTTTATCTCAAACGACAGACTTTTACTAAACAAAAATGTTCCTTATCTTAACACGACTAGCATCCTCCCAATAACATTCCATTTTCTGTCTCCTACAAACATTACAACAACCAATTACGGCATCCATGCGAACAAGTTCTTCGTTCCAAATTAAATTACTTCTAATTAATATCTTTCACCAGTCATTTATTAAATTTCAAATACAAAAAATAGTATGAATTTTGTTTCGCTTACATTCTTTAGTTTTGCCTTAATTGTTTGTGTAGACACACGTAAACGGTTGTAATAACATCTTAAATTAATTTTATTCTGTAGTAACCATAAAAAGTAATAGGGTAAACACAAAATTTATAAATAAGGAACAAACAAAATGAGAT